GTAGTGGTCGTAATCAATCTCCCAGTGGTGCATTCTTTGGAGCTGGTAGAGCGGATCTGGGTCATTTCGACCCTCGTGAGAGTTCTGATGATGATGCCGATTCCCTACCCGATATCACATACTCTTTGGGACCACGTCGTGAAGGCAGGGCACATGAGAATAAAGACCGATATGACTGTCCAGCAGAAGAACCGCGAGAAAGGTTGCGAAACCCAGCTCATTCCTCATCAAGGTCAAGCCACCGGAAACCAGAGAAGTTAAGCCGCATCCCCACATTCTAGGGAGCGATTGCCGATCTGGCTAGTTTTCTGACCTTGGTCAAAGTCAAGTTTGAATACTTTTCCGATTGTCGTCTGACGGACATGGATAACATCAACATGGTCATACCCCTTCTTGAGAACGAAGCCTGCAACTGGTACTTTGTCATACACACACCTATCAACCGTGAAGCGGCGAACCCAGTGGGCATGCCATTCAACTAGAATGGTCCGCTCCAGACCTGAAACGGTTTCTGTGAACGGTTAGAGCAGAGTCACGGAGGTGATAACGTGAATCGGGATAAGAATCTTCTCCAGTAAAATAAGTTGTTGATGACCTCCAACCAGAGCAGTCCTTACCTGGATAAGATTATCGATCTGATGTACAAGCTGAATCCCACAGACCATCAACAGGTTAAGGATAAGGTCAGGGCTGGAATAACTTCCATGCTTTAAACAGCAGGGGGGGTGAAGACGCCACACCCTGCAGCTCTCAACGATTACCTAGATTTGCTTCCGCAAGTTGGTCCTGATTTAGAAGGCGATAGGCGTTTTCGGGCATTTCAATGATGACAAGTATTCGAAACTACAAGAGAAGAAGCAGAAGGAAACTTCTAAACCCATGGGAAGGTTTAAGAAGAAGGAGAAGGGTTTGGGTTAGAAGGATAACAAGCCGCACAAGACTGCTAATGTTGCCGGCGGAAAGCAGGCTGGGACATCAGAGTGTCCTATTGCTCATCGAGATATCCCTCAGAACCATACTGATAAAACACGCAATAATAAGCAATACACGAAGTGCAGAAGAGATGGACACTGCAGGAGACAGTGTGCGGTAACCTCGCCCATCGTTCATGCCGTAAGGAATACCACGGGAGTGAAAAGATCACGACTAATGGTAGCATCATCTGTGAGCGGAAATAAGCAGGTAAGGCGCATTGAAGCATCTCGTCTCCCACCCTCAGGTCCTAAGCTCTTGGAAGCCTGCAAACGCTCTGCTACTATTATGGAGGTCGATAGGGACCTCAGTGAAGGTAAGAACCTAATCCTAAGAAGGAAATAACCAAAGCTAACCGCTCTAAATCAATGAAGATCACCAAGGAGAGATGGCCACTCAAGTGAGCCGGATTAAGGTAAGAACCAATCGGCGTTGACTAGATCTTCAGTTCTGACACAGGTTTTGATACAGGAGTATTAGGAGAGGACCTGGTCAGGTTGATGTTACAGTCGCGCACGGTATTTCGTTTTTCTTTGAGTTCTTGGGTTCTGTTATTTCTTATGTTATATTTCATGTTGGACAGTTTGGGAAAAGTACTTTCACTTTTTTCTTTGGCTGAGCATTCTGCTCCGAGGGGTCGCTGTGGAAAATGCGAACTACGCGACAATTCTATGGGGCACAAAGATACCCTGTTTGGCACCAGTTGACTGGACATCTCTGGACAGCAAGTGTAATTTTCTAGTTTTATATGGGTCGTTTGTCTTGTATGATCGAATTGATTAGGTGATTAGTCTTGAATAAAAGTTATCTTTTAAGTTTATCTGAGGAGGGTTTAGTACCCAACATCATGCTGGCGTGATAGTAAGCAGCACTCCAATTCCTCCTATTGATTAAAACTATTCTTGAAAACGTTTACCGACCCGTTGTGGCCGCTGTTCTGTCGAAAGGCAGGAGACTATCAAGGATAAGTTCCCTAAGACAAACAAAGCAGAGGTGGCACTCCTGCCCACCCAAGCACAGCAAGTTTATTCACTTACCAGTAATACTAGATTGGTGTATAGGGTGTAGGTATGTCAGTACCGAAGCGTTATTGTTATTAGATAGTGGAGCTACTGGCCCTGTCCTCAGTAGCCAATGGGTTAAGAGTACTCAAGCTGCTTGTGTACGAAGGAGGATCCATACTGCAATACATGAGGCAAGCGGTAACTACATACTAGGATCAGGTCTTCATTATACCAAGTCCTAGGATCTGAAGATAGGCGATCACATGAATAGCATGCATTTTGAGCTAGCAGATATAGCCGACACTCATGTGGACGGCTATCTACTCATGGTGTAGGTAAAGACCACAACCAAGACATCGATCAGAAAGCAGGATCACCGACCGTGCACTCAGACCTTGGTAAGGCTAACTGTCTTACGAAGCAGAGGCGGTTGGTCTACATGACTGACGAAGAACTGTTATCAGAAGATCCCGAACATGTTTCTTTTCTTGAGACAGTATAGTTCTTGGATGATCAGGGTGAAGATGTCACAGTGCAGCTTCTACCTGAGTATAAGGACTTTGGAGACATCTGTATTTAAGAAAGGATAGATGCATTGCCGGAACATACAAAGTATGATCCTAGAATTAAATTAAGTCCTAGAAGCACACCACCATTTGGGCCTATCTATCTGATATCAGAAAAGGAGAGGAAAGCACTTCGTGAATTCATATACGAAATGTTACACACAGGAAAGATAAAAAGATCTACTTCCTCGTCTGCAGCTCCTATACTTTTTGTGCCAAAACAAGATGGTACACTAAGGTTGGTAATCGATTACTATGGACGAAATAAGATCACGGTAAAGAACAGATATCCACTCCCATTGATGAATGAGTTGTGAGGTAGGCTCTCAAAGGCTACAGTGTATAGCTTGATGGACCTAAAGAATGGGTATTGGGCAATCCGAATGGCTGAGAAAGCCCATGGAGATACTCACTCGCATAAGGAACTCATGGCTCTCGATAGTGAAATGGGACTGCATCAATTTGAGGTAATGCCCTTTGGGTTATGTAATGGTGCTGCTACGTTTCAGAGTATGATCAATGACATATTTCATGATATGTTTGGTGAAGGAGTCGTCGCTTATATGGACGATATCCTAATTTACTCGGAGACAATAAAGGAACATGTCTCACTGGTTAGACGAGTAATGAAAAGATTAAGGAAGCATCGGGTATGTGCAAACATAAAGAAGTCTTTCTTCCATAAAGGTGAAGTGGAGTTCTTGGGTTATAGGATATTCGAAAAGAGGATATGTATGACGACGAAGAAGGTGGATACCATCGTGCATTGGAAACCGACAACTAGCATGTTTGGAGTCCAGAGTTTTATGGTCTTCGCCAACTTCTATAAAAGGTTTTATAGAAGGGTTTATCAAGATTGCAAAACCTTTGACAGACCCCACTAAGAAGGATGTTCGATTCATTTGGACTCCTAGTTGTCATCAGGCTTTTTGTGTGTTAAAGAACGCCTTTACCTTAGGACCGCTCCTAGCACACTTCGATCCTAACCACCAGACTGAAGTAGAGACCGATGCGAGTGACTTTGCCTTACATGCCATACTGTCGCAATTCTGTAGACACGAGAAGTGGCACCCAGTGGCCTGTAACAGGAGGAAATGCCATCCAGCAGAAATAAATTATGATGTACATGACAAAGAAATGACTGCTATTGAGGCAGCTTTCAAGGAATGGGAACATCTGTTTAGGTCAGTAGAGGGTGAGATCTCGGTCTACACCAATCATAAGAATCTAGAGTCCTTTAATTGTACAAAGACCCTCAACCGCAGGCAACAGCACTAGGCAGAATTCCTACAACATTTCAATTTCAACGTTGTCAACCGTACGGGAGGGCTAAATACAAAGACTGATGCACGGTCAAGCCGTGGAGACCACAGCCCTGAAGGGGGGAGTAATTGGCTATCAGAGACACCAAAGTCATTTTTGTTCAAATGTGTGGGTACGGCACTATCTTAATAACTTTGTACGAAAATACGACACAGTAGTGAGAGTATACGGAGGGCACGCTAAGCGAGGAGGAATTTTGTATGAAGGTAGATTGGTAGTAGTTCTTGTCATTAATTCTCTTAAGCGAGATGGGTTGTAACCCCTATTTATACAGGTGCGCATCCTTCGCGTAACTTAAGAGGAAATGTAAGGAAAAACATAAGTATCGACGTGTTTAACTGTAACATAAGTAGGAAAAACATAAGTGCGAATGTGTTTGACCCTAAAGAACTGCCAAGGAAATGCCATAAAACATGCGTAAATCTGAGGTGGTGTGAACGGAGAATTAGAACCTAATTGTGAATCAAATGACAGATAACCATGCATGATGATGCATAAAATGTAAGATATAATCCCGAACACCAGATAAGAAAAGCACGCCACAATCCCCTAATCGTATCATGAAATATGAAATGAAATATCTGTGATACATACTCCGCTGTAGTAATGTTTGTGAACTAGAAATAAAACTAAGTAGAGGAATATACGATGTTATCAAGGCGAATATACATATGAAACGAATTAGAAAATTCAACAATTTTTTCGCCCAGGGCAATGGGTTGTGGGACAGGAGTGAGACCTCTTATGTCCTCACAAGTTTGAGTTTTGTCAAGGCTACCGATTGCAATCTACGTTCTTGGATGCATTGAGTACTGCGGCAAGACAAGATTCTCTCTATATGAAGGACTTGAAGGCAGTGTTGGCAGAAGACAAAGGTGTCGACAGCAATCTGAAAATAGAAATAGATCTTCTCCTATATAAGAACAGGTAGTATATTCCAAACTCACAAAGTCTGCAGGATCAGAGCATGGAAGTTGAAGATGACTCCCGTATCGCGGGACACTTTGGGACATACAAGATGGTAGGCAGGGTCAGGGCTAACTTCTTCTGGCCTAAGATGGATGAGAGTATTACAGACTATGTTCATACATGCGATACCTGTCAATGGTATAAGTCAGTTAAGCATAAGAAGTTTGGCTTGTTGGAACCTGTTGGTATATCCTTGAGGCGGTGGATGGATATCTCAATAGACTTCAAACTAGCACTACCGGTATCAGAGAGGTGTACCAAAATTTGGGTAATCGTAGATAGCTTGTCGAAGATGGCACACTTTATACCCTTAACTACAGAAATCCCCATTAAGAACGTAGATCTGATATTCGTAAAGGAAATATGGCGGCTCCATGGGCTCCCAGAATCTATTATCTCTGACAGAGATAGCCGATTCACATCCAAGTTTTAGATGAGCCTGATGCCACAGTTGCAATTGAAACTATGGTTATCCACCACTTTCCACCCTGAGACTGATGGGCAGACTGAAAAAGTGAACAAGACCTTTGAACAATACTTAAGAAATTATTGTTCATATCAACAGGATGATTGGGCATCGCTACTCCCCTTGGCAGAGTATACATACAAGACATCCACCTCCGAGTCAACCAAGTTATCTCTATTCGAGATTAACTATGGATTTAACCAATGAACCACCTGGTTGAGTATAGTTTCGGAGCAGCGAGGTATTCAGCCCAGTAGCCAGCTATTGGTCAGGAACTAGCAGAGTGTCTGGCAAGAAGTCCCAGATACAGTTAAGCGAGCTTAAGAGAGACAAAGGAAATGGTATGACCAAAGAGGGTTGCCATCTGTGGAATAGGGTACAGTTGAAGATATAACCAACGGTAGGGCAAAGAGGGCTGATCACTTGATCCTAAATCGAAAGAACATCCGTACCAAGGGACCTATGCGGACGTTAGACCACCGAATGTTTGTGCCCTTTGTGATCAAGCGTAAGGTTGGTAACAGAGCTTATGAACTCCAATTGCCTGCCCGCTGGGCCATCCACCCGGTATTCAATGTCGGACTTTTAGAACCCGATCGCGAGGGGGTTAGTCGCAAAAGAATAAAGGAAGTCCCGATTCCCCAGAGAGTAGACAATGAGGGCAGCTACATTATCGAGGCAGTAGTAGACAGTCGATGGTGTGGTAACATGAACGCAAAGTGTGAGAATCACTTTGTACATTAGTTGGTTTCATGAGAAGGCTATGGCGCAGAGGAGAACTCTTGGAAGCCATACGAAATGCTAGAGTGCACAGGCTTGAAAGCCATGTAGGATTTCCACCATCGGTATCCACATAAACCGAGGGACCATAGGGTTGAGGGCGAACCAAACCGGGAAAATAAGAGACAACGTTAGTGGACCGGGAGAGTCCTTAGAGAAGAGAAGAGTGATGTAACGACCCTAGAGTATAGAGCTATGGCAACTTAAGTCTACACCCATTCCTAAGACCCTGAGGTAATATGGTAGACTAGCCGGGGATGCGGGAGCATGTCGAAGGCATCTCTGATGGTCAGGATATCCAGAAGAACAGAAGGTACTTATGCAATAGGTGTACCTAGGAAGTGGAAATAAGGTGACTATGTCAGGTCTGGTCCAAAGTTTGGTCGGAAGGCCAGGTGAGTTTACCCGGCCTAGGAGAGTCATGTTTCCCTACTATGAAGACCAGTTTCGTGTCACTCTGGACATACTTACCCGCCCTTGGGGACACAATTACCCTACCTTCTGGTAGAAATGTTCTCAGAGGAATTTCGAGAACTGTTAGGATTGTTTGTTATGTAAAGACTATCGATAGGCACTTGCTTGCACTTTGATTGGAAGACTACCGGAGGAGCTATAGTACTCTAAACAAGCTGTCCCTCAGTAGAATTGTTCCTAACAGGTACCTGTGGCCCCAGGGTTCGCCCCGGGCGTCATGGGCCAAAATGCTTGAAGTTGCTGTCATACTAGTTAAATGGAGTCAATGAAGACAGGTCTATAACAGGGTATGCATCGGTGCAGTCTGTCCGACCTGAGGCTTTTCGCAGGATGTACAGAGAGGTGAAGGCGAGAAGGTCGGGTACCTTCTCCAAAAAGGACCGCGTAAAATGGACCAAAACTGACAGAGTTAGCCTGAGCTATCCGGAAGGGTCACCTCAGCAGTCCCGGGTAGTGTCGCAGATACCTGGGAAGGTTTTACACCAATCAAGCCTATACGTACCCCTTTGCGGTAGGCTCTTTGTGGGTTGTTTAAAGACTCTGATAGCACTGCACTTATCACATGGAGTGGTGTGCCGAGGGTAAGGGACCATGGGTAGCGCCCATGGGTCTGGCCACCGATACGGCTCTCTGAGGGAGTGTCATAGACCCCCTAAGTTCTCAATCAAGCAGGATAGAATTTAACTGGGAGAAAGCGGATGTCTACGGGAGCTTGCATAGTTCATAGCGCATGGCAAGGAAGTCATTTAGTTAGCTTTGCTGGGCGTCTCGACAGTTAGCCACTGGCGAGACACCTATGCGCCGAGGTTTTCACTCCGGCAGGTGTATTGGTAAACCTCTTGCAGGAACTGACGTGCATATAGGTGGTTTCTGCTAGAGTGTGCTGACACCTTAAGCACTTCGCGGGCAAGGAAATCGTGCTGGGGCAACCCTTACCGAGAAGGGCATACTGGTGTTGGTCGGAGTAACCTGATGGGTGAGTTTTTGGTGTAAGTCTTACTACTTAGAGATTATAGGAGAACTCTCCTACCCCGACACAATCAACCACCTCTCGAGAGACTTTAATTGAGATAAGCCTGCACTTAATGACCTTAAGTTTTACTATTACTGTTATTCTTTACACTTTTGCAAGGGCGGTGTGCGAGAGATTCGAAGTTTGGTGTAGTTGCATCCTTAGGAACCATCTACCTGAGAGCGCCCGCTTTAAAGACATCCACCGGAGCCAATAATGAGAGAACCACACTCTGTTATGAAAGTAGTGCTTAGTCTAGAGGAGCTTTGGTGGAGTTCTGGCAGAGTACTGACTTTGACGGTATATTGCTTAGGCGTCCTTCACACATAGTACCTGATACACACCGGCCTGGTTCTCCTCCATGCTAGCCTTTCAACGCTGCCTTTGACATTTAACCAGCACCAATATTGGTAGAACTACAACCTGTTATGAGAATGGGGTTTACGCTGGCACAGCTTTGGTGGAGTTCTGACGAAGTTCGTACTTTGACACCCGGAATGCTCCATGTTGTTAGTACAGATTATATATTTGGCTTGTTGAATATGTGGAAACTGAAATTGCTGAGGATCTTCTGAGTGACGAATAGGGTTTTGCAGGACAGGAAGTTGCATTAATCCAGGGGGTTGTTGATGGCACGAGTACCAGTGCGCCTGTTGGTAGTGATTTTGGGATTTTTGTTTGGATGGAGGGGTGCTGTTACACATAGAAGCGTAATCGGTGCGGCACCTGACTAAATGCATAAGGTCCTGTGTTCAACTCTGGGCCCCGCCCCAGTTATCCTGACAATATCATAGTATGCTGCGGAATGATAAGGCATCTATGCAGCCCACTCCATGGAGATACGAGGTATGCGACAGAGGTGATTTCGCCAGATAACATAGAAGGAGCTCGGCTTTACTCGATAAGACTTAGTTGAGCTAGATTAGTTGGTTAGTTATTGGGCTATGACCTCAGGAAGTCTTGGTGCTGCTATTCTGAGAACTCGGTGCACCATCCTTGGCGCGCGTCAACTAGGGTCATCCACAGACTAGTTGATGATTGGTTAAATAACAACTCACTGGGTGAGTGAGTTATCTTCGTCATGCACTCTAAGCTATTATAACGGGGGCTCTCTTAGGTAGATGGTTCCTAAGGATGCAACAGTACCAAACTTGGAATCTTCCAAACACAGCTCTTGCAAAAGTGTAAAGAAGAAAAGTAACAGTAAAACTTAATATCGTTAAGCTCAGGCTTATCCCAATTAAAGTCTATTGAGAGGATGTTGGTTGTGTCGGGATAGGAGGGGTCTTGTATAATGTTGAAGTAGTCAGACCAGTGCCAAAAACTCCCCCAGCAGGTTATCCCGACCAATACGAGTATGCCCCTTCTCCGTAAGGGTTGCCCCAACCACTTCCTTACCCGCAAAGGGCTTAAGGTGTCAGCGCACTGTAGCAGCAATCTCCTATATGTGTATCAGTTTCTGCGAGGTGTTTACCAATACACATGCCGGAGTAAAAACCGCTGCGCATCTGTGTCTCGCCAGTGGCTAACTTGTCGCGACGCCTAGGATAGCTAACTAAATGACTCTGTTCCCATGTGCTATGACCTATGCAAGCTCCCGTAGACATCTGCTTTCTCCCTGTTAAGTTCTATCTTGCTTGGTTGCGAACTTAGGGGGTCTACGACACTCCCTAGAGAACTGTGTTGGCAGCAGGATCCGTGGGCGCTACCCATGGTCCCTTACCCCCGATACCACTCACTGTGATAGGTATCATGCTATGAGAGTCCTCAAACAACCCACAAAGAGCCTACGCCAAAGGGGCACGTGTAGGCACGATTGGTATAAAACTATCCCAGATGTCTCCGACACTACCCGAGACTACTCTGGGGACGCTTCCAGATAGCTCCCACTAGCTCTCTCAGTTCTGCTCCGTTTTACTCCATTCTTTTTGGAGAAGGTACCTGGCTTTCTCACCCTCACCCCCTCATATATCCCGCGAACAGCCCCTTGGTGACCGGACGGTAGCTACGTATACGGTGTTATGGACAACTCTTCACTGACTCCATTTAACTAGTATGACGGCAACTGCAACCCTTTTGGCCCATGACGCCCGGGCCGAACCCTGGGGCCGCAGGTACCTGTTACGAATAATTCTAACAAGTTACAGCTTGTTTGGAGCACTATTGCTCCTCCCATAGTCTTCCAATCAAAGTGCAAGGAAGTGCTCGTCTATCGTCTTTGTGTAACAAGCAATCCTAATAGTTCCCGAAATCCCTCAGAGAACATTTCCAACAGAGGCTAGGGTAATAGGGTCCCCAAGGTAGGGTAAGTACGTCCATAGTGACACGAAACTGGTCTCCATGGTAGGGTAACCTGACTCTCGTCGGTAGGGTCAACTCACCCGGGCTTCCGACCAGACCTTTGGCCGGAGCGGACATAGTCACTTGACTTCCACAATCTAGGTACACCTATTCCATAAGTACCTTCTGTTCATCTAGATATCCTGAACATCGGATATCCATTGGGCATGCTCCCACATGCCCGACTAGTCTACCATATTACCTCCGGGTCTTATGTATAGGTGTACACTTAACTCGCTATAGCTCTAGAACGTAGGGTCGTTACAGCTATGCACATAGCAGAGTCATTGATAAGTCCTTTGACGGAGCTGATCACTCCACTCAGGAAGGGAGCTGGGAAGTTACCTTACAGGGTCAAAGGGGTTTCGGACTCTGAAGACACTGAATTGTTAGTATGGCAGGTACAGAAGTCAGTAAGGGATTATATATAGGCCGGCACCACCCAGACGGGCAATATAAATATTGAGGTGCCTCAACAGCTTTATCTCCATCCTCCATCACTGCTACACCTCCGGCGATTGAAAGCCCAATACCACAGTTTTTATCGTGGGTGTTTTGTTTCATCGCGAAAACTTTCTCCACCCTCCCGCCCCTCCGGCCTTTGGCTTCAGCCTACGGGACCTGGGCAGTTCTCTCCTCTCAGCCCCGGGGTACTGACTTCGGTCTACTGTCACAGGGCCCTCTCTCTCCTTGGGGGTTGGTTGGTTGGAGGCCCTCCTTTGCTGGCTGGCAGGTGGTAGTATCCCATCCACTACCATGATGCTATCTCTCCCAGAACAAGGGACTACATGAGAGACACGGTAAAACACCTGCTATGCTTTACCTGGGGGGCTGTTTATGATCTTTCTTACTCCTCCTCTCTCCTCCCCCCACGTGTTGTAGGGAGTGTAACGACCCCACATTATTGAGCTATGGCAACCTAAGTCTACGCCCATAGATAAGGCCAAGAGGTTATATGGTAGACTAGGCGGGCATGCCTGAGCATGTCTGGGAGATACCGGATGGTCCGGGTATCCCGAAGAACAGAAGGTACTTAAGATATAGGTGTACCTAAGCAGCAGAAGTGACGTGACTAGATCGGGTTCGGCCTAAG